AGTGGAGGAGTGAGACAGAAGATATTGGAGGAGGCACACAAGTCCAAGTTCTCTATACATCCGGGGGATACGAAAATGTATAGAGATTTGAGACTGAGTTACTGGTGGCCATGCATGAAGCGGGAAATTGCCTGGTTTGTGGAGCGGTGCTTGACCTGCAGTAAGGTCAAGGCCGAGCATCAGCGGCCTCATGGCAAGGTTCATCTGCTACCAATTCCCATGTAGAAGTGGGAAGAGATCACTATGGACTTCATCACGAAGTTACCGAGGACGGCGAGGGGTGTGGACACCATATGGGTGATTATAGATAGATTGATGAAGAGTGCCCACTTTATTCTGATCTCTGAGAGTATATCCGCTGAAAAGTTGGCGGATATTTATGTGCAAGAGGTGGTGGCTAGACACGGGGTGCCAGTGTCAGTAGTCTCTGACAGAGATGTTCGATTTACATATAGGTTCTGGAAGAAGTTCCACGAGGAACAGGGCACTCAGTTGCATTTTAGCACGGCGTACCACCCCCAGACAGCTGGCCAGAGTGAGAGGACGATCCAGACACTTGAGGATATGTTGCGGGCATGTGTGTTGGATTTTGGAGGGAGTTGGGATACGTACCTTCCATTGGTAGAGTTTTCATACAATAACAGTTACCATGCCAGTATCGACCGACCCCCGTTTGAAATGTTGTATGGTCGGAGGTGTAGGACCCCGGTTTGTTGGGGTAAGGTTGGACACCGGGTCATTGGGAGCACTGAGGTAGTGCTCAAGACTACCGGGCTGATTCAACAGGTGCGTGACCGGCTGCGGGTCGCGCAGAGCCGTCAGAAAAGTTATGCTGACCGGCGACGATCGGATATTGAGTTCTAGGTAGGGGAATTTGTGCTGCTAAAGGTGTCACCATGGAAGGGAATCATCAGGTTTTGGAAGAGAGGCAAGCTAGGGCCCCGATATATAGGACCGTTTAGGATTACGGCCCGGGTGGGCAAGGTGGCCTATCGTTTGGATCTGTCGGATGAACTTAGCCAGATTCACAACACCTTCCATGTGTCATAGCTTCGGAAATGTGTCATCGAAGAGGCCGCAATCGTTTCTCTTGACGACATTCAGGTGGATGAGAGCATGAACTACATCGAGAGGCCTGTTGCGATCTTAGATAGGAAGACCAAGGTTCTTGGGAACAAGGAAGTGAAGTTGGTGAAGGTGCAATGGAAGCAACGCATGGGCTCCGAGTGGACTTGGGAGCCAGAGGACGAGATGCAAGACTACTACCCGGATTTTTTTGGGCCAGCAGACTTCGAGGACGAAGTCTAGTTCAAGTGGGGGAGACTTGTAATACCTGTTCCAGGTATTAATTAATTTATCTAAGTTTTAGGGTTTTGTTCATGGACTCGGCGAGTTGGGATGCTCCAACTTGTCGAGTAGAGACTATTATGAGGACGCGGGATTTGGATTCTACTCGACGAGTCGGAAGGCCCCGACCCGACGAGTAGGCGCTGAAGAGAGAAACCCTAATTTTCAGGGGTTTGCACCCTATTTAAAGGACTTATGGCTCATTTGTAGCCTCCCTCACCATCCTTACAGCCCAGAAAGAAACCCTAGCCGCATAGTAAGCTTATTGTTGATGTTATAGCCTTGGAGGGCCATGCATGCACATAAAGTTTGCAACTTTACATGGTATCTGCACTAGGGGAAGTTAGATATGAAGTTTCTGACTCGACGTGTCAGGGTAGGGTTTTCCCGTTTCTGAGTGAGTGCAGTGAAGGATTAGGGTTTTGGTCTAAACGAACTTTAGTTTTCTGGACATTTAATGAACTCAACGAGTCACTAGGGTGAATTGGCGAGTTGATACGAGATTCAGTGGAATGGAATCGGGAGGAACTCGACGAGTTACAAAGGTAACTCGGTGAGTTGACAAGTCACACAGCTAACTCGACGAGTTTCCGGATGTACTCGACGAGTTGAGGTCAACATGGATTGTCACCTTGACTGTTGACCTTGACTTTGACCAGGGTTGACTTTGAGGGTATTTATGGTATTACGGGATCGTGACAAGTTAATCACATGATGATTATAGGTAGTTGAGTTGGAGCAGCAGGTGGGATATATTTGATCTTAGCTTGTCAGTTCAGCATTCGAGATGTGAGTCTTCTCACCATACCAATGGGTCTACAACACCAAGGTCGGCCAATTTTATGATATGTGGTACACTAGCTGTAGTAGAGATATGTGGTGTGATAGTTAGCTATATGCTAAGTGGTATGCTAGTGATTATATGATATTTGCATGGAAGACCCCGGGGGGAGCCCGTAGCAGTTGGATATTAGACCATGTAGGGGAGCCCATGGCACATTGGAGTAAGACCATGGAGGGAGTCCACGACATCCTTATATGTTTATGTATGAGTTATGTAGTATGATAGATACTTCTGTGATATATAATATGCTAGTTGATTATTATGCTATTGCATGGAAGACCCCGGGGGAGCCAGTGGCAGTTGGATATAAGACCATGTGGGGGAGCCCGTGGCATTCCTAGGTAAAGACCATGGGGGAGCCCATGGCATGTAGGTATAAGACCCTGGGAGGAGCCCACGACATCGTTATATGTTAGTATGCATGGCTTGTGTGATATATGTAGCTTCTATAGCTAATATGATATGTATTATGTGGATTGTGTGTGGGGTATGCTCTGGGGGACTCACTAAGCATTAGCTTACAGTTTGTGGATTTGTTTCAGGTACATCTGAGCCCAAGGGCAAGGGCAAGGCTTGATGGTGCGGCGTGCACACTCTCTGAGGCGTTTCATGGGACACTATGATGTTTTGAAATAAAATTGTAGTTGACATGAATTTTGAAAACAATTGTATTTGGATTTCATGGTTTATGGAAAAGTGTTTTGGCTAATCAAAAATGAAAATTTTCGTTTGAAAATTTGGGTCGTTACACCAATTGGGCACGCTGTATTGAAACTATGCAATCAATATATGTCTATTTCATATTTCTTGGAAACATCGTAGTCTTTTGGGGTGCCAAAATCAGCCTATAATGTCTTGTTGAAGCCGTGAGTCCGAGTATCAAGCACTGGAAAACACAGTTGCTGAAATCTATATGGGTCACACATCTTCGACGCGAGCTTCATGTACTACCACCTGATCGACGACTCTACTTTGTGACAACCGAAGTGCGATTTTCTTGAGTCAAAATACAATCTCTTATAAGCGTGAAGAACACATCGATATTGATTATCATTTCATTCGATAAATTGTTTCATCCGATTATCTATAACTCTTTAGTTGGCCGATTAGGCATGTCAATTGGGTTGGATCCGGGTTGGTAGGTAATGGGATGGCGGGTCAACATACATTTACCTAACCCAACCCATATAATATATGGGTTGACGGGTTGGAAACATCAACCCAATCCAACCCAACCCACATAACTTGTTTAAGTATATATGTTTGCGGGTCAGTGAGTCGATTTCGGGTCAAAGAGTCGACGGGTCATTTTTCGGGTAACTTTTTACATGTTAAATTTATAAAAAGTATACATGTCTCTAAATTAATTAACAACTAGCATTTTACATTGTCTATAATGAAATGAACAACCAAATACCAATCTAAGTATCTTACATAATAACTTAATAAGCAACACATTAAAAAAAAGGTTTCCAATATATAGTCATAAAGTCATAATCATCCGAATGAAATCGAAAACATTTATGCAAAGTGCAATTGTGCAAATAAAAAATAAAAGGTAGATTAGTAGAACCTTTTTCCTATGTGACCGATACAAAGGTTTCAAAAGATTAGAAGCAAATCAATTTTCAACATGTCAAAAGCTTCTACTCAGCAACCATACCCGAATTACAAACTAGATTCTAGGTGTGTTAGTTGTAATTAACTCATGACATTTTATGGTTGCCATGTGTTTATATGTATACAGTAACACAATGTTGGAGGCAAAAAATAAAAAAAGAAGCATGGGACTGGTGGGCACTTGGAATTACCGAATTACAAACTGATTTTCAAGTCAAAATCTTGGAAGCACTTGGAATTGGCATTGTTTCTTTTTTACTTACCGACTAGAGTAGGGCTACATGAGCGACAACGAAGGTGGAGCGATGACGATGATCAAATTGAAGGTGGAGCGCAGCTGGTGGGACAGTGGGTTGGTGCCTTAGTGGTGTGCAACATGTGACGCCTATGCATGTGGAAGGTTTGGGTGTTGTGAGTCTCTCTCTCTCTCTCTCTCTCTCTCTCTCACACACACACACACACGTTTGGATCAACTTGAGAGTTCAAGTGGGGTTAAGACTATTAGCTAGGGCATGTCGTATATTAATATATTCCATATTTTTGTTAATTCATAAATAATTTTTTTAAATATAATATATAATGGTGTTGGGGGGTTGAACAACGAACCCAAACAGATAACCCAACCCAACTCATGAAAGAAACAGTTTCGCTGGTCAGAAATCCCAACTCAACCCCATTTATTTTCATGTCAGGTTACGAGTTGAGTCGAAAATTGTCATCCCTAACTCATGTATTCATAAATAGCCTTCCACGACCCCTATTTGAACACTATTGAGCCAAGCTTCGTGTCACTCTACCACCACTAAGCTTATGGATGGGGGGAGTTTAGCAATAAGCATTCTTAAGACTGCATCGACCTTATCAGATGGAAAAATATTTATTTATTTATTTATTTATTTTATAACTACGGTTTATTATAATTATTGATGCATATGTTTTTATTCTTATGTATATATTTCTTACCTGCATGCAACCTTTTTATTATATATAACAACCTCAAGGGGCAACTTTTGCAAATCATATGTAGAATCTCAATTGACTATATTGGTCCAAACCCATATATAAAATTGGGCTCACATTGTTATACGACTTGATACTTATATCTTATAATTTGGGCTCATTTGGGTTTCTAAAAATTAAAATTGCCGTCAAAAGCCCAAAATTCAACCTTAAGTGCTGTGCATGTCTCTTCATATTCGCCCACTATCACGCAGAACGAGGTTGTATCTACCGCTACAAAAATCCGACCGTTGGACCTTCGCCATTGATAAACAGACCACGCCGGACAAGGTTCAACAATGGTGACAATGAGCGATACAGCTACACAACCTCTAGATACCTCAACCCCGGTTGCAGTAACCCCTAACACTCAAACAATGAACTACAGCGATTCTACTCCAAAGCTTTCTTCCGATTACGAGAAATGCAGAGAGCAAAGAATCAAAGAGAATCTTGAAAGAATGCAAAAGCTCGGGATTCATGATCTATCTCTTAAGCTGAAATCTATGAAACCGAATACCCATAGGAGAAACAACAAACCCTATAAAACCCCTAATCGCTGTATTTCCCCTTTTCCCTCCTCCGTCCCCTCTCGTCGATCCTCAAGGTTCGCTTCCTTTTTCTTTAGTATTATTACTTCTATTGTTGTCCAATCTGCATTTTGAAGTGAAATTTTGTTTCTGATGTGTTTGTAGGGTTTGTAGTTTTGTGGGATTTATGCTTGATTAGGACTCCATTAATTTTCTGTCTACTGTCTTTGTTTCTTCCATTTTTGTCAGTTCCTTTACTTTGTACTATTGTTTAATCTGTATTTTGAAACGAATTTATGTTTCCGATGTGTTTGTAGGGTTTATAGACCTACGGGTTGTATGAGTTTGGTTAAAAATGCAATTTTTTTAAAAACACAACCCCTAAATTGTTGTATGATGTGCTTTGTAGGTTGCAGAATACACCAACAGTTAGCTACACAGAGGTCGATTTATCTAAAAAAGCTAAAGATGATACTAATCTGTGGATGGGAGAGCATAAAAGACCTGAAGTTTACACAGAAGAACATGAAAAGCTTCTGGGAGATACCAAAACAGAGTGGACTCTTTTTGTTGATGGATATGGAAAAGATGGCAAGAAAATCTATGATCAAGTTAGGGGAAAGACATGTCATCAATGCAGGTATTAAATCACACTTTTGATCATTGTCATCTTTCTTGTTCTTGAATTCTTTAACGATTTGCATTATTCGAATTCATTGCAGACAAAAAACACTCGGTTATCGCACACATTGCATCAAATGTAACCTTGTTCAAGGCCAATTTTGTGGAGATTGTTTGTATATGAGGTATACATGGATTCTTTCTTTATGTATTTCAATTATAAAATCAAGAAACTACCCATAATAGTACAATTGGTTATTTGGTTTGTGTACATTGTATCTAGTGGGCCCATGTGTACCTGATTTACATCTGGGCCATCTTTGGGTTACATAATTAATCTTTATAATAATTTTGATGTGTTTTTTTAATAAATAAATATATAGATACGGGGAGAATGTTCTAGAAGCAATGCTGAATCCCAATTGGATTTGTCCGGTTTGTCGAGGGATTTGTAATTGCAGTTTGTGTCGTCAGGCAAAAGGGTGGGCCCCAACGGGTGTTCTTTATAGGAAGGTTTGTTCATCTTTCCATTCCTACCCTTATATGTTATCTTTATTGTGAAATGCTAGTAATAACAATGTACTTTCATTTATTTGTTTCTTATTGCATTTGTCATCTTACTTTCATTTCTTATGATTACAACATTATACTTTAAAAAAAAAATTATCCACAAATTAACTTTTTTTATGTGGATGTTTTACTAGATTTCAAGTCTTGGGTATAAATCAGTTGCACATTATCTCATTCAAACTCATCGGGCTGACTCTAATTCTGAGAAGAATGAGAAGACTGAAAATTCTGTTTGTGCTAAACGGTCACTACCCTTTTCAAAGGAAGATGTTGAGGCCCAAAAGGTGATTGAAATACAATCATCGGATGAATCCGGGGGTAAAAATGTCAAACTAGAAAGTGGTCAGAAGGTATCGGAACACAAGAATCCAGAATTAGAGATCGAGTCTGGAAACGGTATTGCAACAAATGAAGGGATTAAGGACAAAGAACCACCGGAATTGAAATTATCGGATGAAGGTTTAAGTCCGGAATCGGAATGCAAGATTCCGGAGAACACAATTCCGGAAATGGAATGCAAGATTCCGGAGACAGGTAAAGGCGAAAACAAGAATACGAATCCGGAATCGGAATGCAAGCTTCCGGAGAAAGGTGTTGATGAAGGTGGAGACAAAAACATGAATACGAATCCGGAATCGGAATACAAGATTCTGGAGACAGGTAAAGATGAAAACAAGAATACGAATTCGGAGTTGGAATACAAGATTCAGGAGAGGGAGGTGGATGAAGGTGAAGATGGAAACAAGCAGACACTTAACATGTCTAAAGGCAACAAAGCAGACAATGAGGGCAAAATCGTCATTACACCAGAAACAAAACCAGGGTCTGGAAAGAAACGCCAAATGGTCATGGTAGAGAATAGCATTGCTGGAAGACTTAGGTCTAGACGCAGATGCATTTGAAGATTTATTTCTTTGATTTCTTGTTTATTTCATGTGTTTTAAAAGAATTGAATCAAGAAAAGGGGCTTTATGCTGCAAGAACATTTATTTTTGGGTTCTTTAAGGTTTTTTCTTGTAGCATTTTTTGTTCATTGTAGCCCTTGATGTAATTTAATTTACAATTTGGTTGATGGTTAATTTAAATTGTGTTTTAAATTGCATGCTTTAATGGCGTTTTTAACGTTTTCAACTTAACATCAAATCAGGAAAACTCAAATATTCCGTCTCCCCCACAAGTCATAATTTTGGTCGTGGTGGCGATTGGGACTGAATTGAAGCAATGGATGAGGAAGGGTTCAATGTATTTAACAAAGAATCCAAACATCACTTCTCCCTCTTGTTCTTTGTATCTATATTAATGGTATTTAGTTAGTGAAAGTGAAAACAAGAAGGGCCTCTCTAATGATGTATTCTTAGCCACATTACATAAAGATATTTATATCAAAGGGTATGGCCGAGTAGTATAGATATATTAAAAGGTGCTCCTCATCCAATATGTTTATAAATATTTAATTCTAGGGCAAAAATAAAAGGATGTGTAAAATGTGTTTAAATATTTAGGTGTTGTTTGTTTTTAAAGATGTAAAATTTTTGCAAATTGCAGACTATTTCTGCATAAGAAGTGGACCAAACATTTGTAGTTGGCAAGAAAAAGACTGTTTTTTAAAGTTTACAAACTTCTACATAAAAAATTGATCAAAAGCTTGCATTCGGCAAAAAAAAACTGTTTTTTAAAGCCTACAAGTTGCACAAAAAAAAGTCCGTTACCTAACATATTTATTTATCTTGTTTATAAAATTCATATTCAAAAGCCATTTTATATTGACCTAAAAATATGTAGCAATATCACAATTTCATAAATCAAGAAATAGCAATGTTTTTATCTATTTGTTTATTAAACTATCTTAATTTTATTTATTTATGTTACAATTTTATTGTATTTTTATTCTTATATTAAAATATTTTTATTCATTAAAGAATTATGTACTTATAACTTTTAGATTTTTAGGTTTTGTTGTAACATTATATTTTAAAAAATAGATCTATTTTTTCAATAAAAAATATTTTTGAATAATTCTTACCGTTTACGATATATATATATATAT